ACACACACACACAGACACACACACAGACACACAGACACAGGTGAGCTGACCAGTTCATTCTTTTTTCGACAGCGGCGAGGATCTGACATCAAAGACGACGGCGGCGACAAACCCAGACGCAACGTCAGCTGGCAGGACAAAGGTAACGCACGCTGATGGGAGGTCAGAGCGCTCAGGGGCCGCCATCAGTGCGTGTCTGTGCGGTGACGAGTTGTGTGTGTGTTCAGATCCAGTGGTCGTTCCTGTGGAGTCGGAGGAAGACAAAGCGGAACACTCAGACGCAGAGAAGGATGAAGACGTTGGCATCACGTTTGTCGCTCGTCAGGTCGAGACGTCAAAACCACGACCGACCTCAGGTGAGATCCCCCCCCCCCCCCCCATCTTAATTTCAGTTGAATTGAATAACCTTTATTTCCAGAGACAGGAGCAGTTCAGACTCTAACTGTCCTCTCGTGTCTCCTCCCTCAGTCCCAGCAGCTCTGGACGGGGCTCAGAGTCCCACCGCCACCCCCCCCTCACCCATCAGCGGAAACAGCCAATTACCGTGGAAGGGCAGTGTTGGCTCCACCCCCCCCTGTGTGTCTGTGGAGGCCACTAAGATCATCCCTGTCGACCTCCAGCAGGCCTGGAACCAGAGCATCTCCTCCCTGGAGAGCATCTCCTCGCCACCAGCCCCCATCGAGCCCATCCACCCCCGCGTGAGTGCCCTCTCCAGACTGGGAGGGCCCCGCCCGGCCTCCTACACCCCACCCAGCAGTCTGGGGAGCAGCACATCCTCCATTGGAGCACAGGTGTCACAGGGCTCCTTCAGCTTCTCTGAGAAGAAGAAAAACAAGGAGGAGGAAGAGGAGGAGGAGGTATCGGCAGCAACGCAGGAGTTGCAGCCGCTCATGTCGTCTCTGAGGCCCCCCGGGCCCCTGCCCCCACCACCACCTCCGCCAGGCTCTGCTCCTGGTTTAGGAGGGAGGAGGAACCCGTGTGTCTACCTGAGAAGCCTGGTATCAGCGCCCCCTGCAGGCAGCAGCGAGCCACACAGCCGAGGCCCCACCCAGCTGTAACCCACACTAATGTCAGGTCGTCCAATAAGAAACCAGCCGGCTCCATCAGTTCTCACCCGAGGTCACTCATACATGACTGCAGACGAATGTCGCTGGTTCAATTTCACCAAAGTGAATCAAGCTGCAGATTTACTTTGTCACAGGAAATAAAAGTTTTATCCCCCCCCCCCCTCACTCACACAGAAGTAGAAGTGAACAGGAGGTGAAGCCATTGAAACATTTGTGTATATTTGACTGTGCCCTTATTCTGATATGATAATCATCTGTCCAATCACAGCCTCCGCTCCGCCCACATGGTTCAGAGATGTTTACTCACCTGAGCTCGTTAACGTCACATGACCCGATCATATCCATGCTCCAGGTTGAATCCTGTGACTCTGTGTTGACTGTTCACTTCTCTCTTGTTGTAAAACCAACATTCTGGTATTTTTACATCTAAATTTCTGTCTTTTCTCGTGTAAAACACTTCACACTGTTTGATGACTCACTCATTCTACGTCCAGTCAGAAAGCTGTCTGATATTTATAACTTCCTACATGAACCTACACTGTCCCGTTCATCGGTTTAATCCGTCAGAGTAGCTGAAGGTGGTGGCGAGACATTGGTGCTCAGAGCTTCTTGTGTCTCGTCCGACATATAAAAAACCACAAAAAGAGTCGCAGTCAGTCACATGACTCTTTTCTGTCTCCTCCGTCCTGCATCTGTTCATTCAGTTAAATGTGATGTTGTATTTTTGTCAGTGGAGTCACATGTCACACTTCCTGTTCGTAGGAGATGACCAGACGTTTAATGACAGGATGAGATAAAACTAAGCTTTGTTATTGAACTATAAATATCATGAATATTACATTTATAGAGAATCATTTTAAAGTGTTGCTGCTGCTTTTTAGAAAAACCAGTGAAGTATTGATCATCTACAGATAATCAGTCGTATTAATCCTGGACCAGTTCACAAAGACTCGTGTTGTAATAAATAACTGTCCTGTGATGGAGTGAAGATGTGTGTGCACAGCGCCACCTGCAGTTGGACTCCCCGAGGGGACAGAAGTGTTTTGAAGCCTTATCTCTGTCGACGTGTCGAGCGTCGTTTGTAAAGATCGACTGAGTCGCTTGTTTTTAATGACCAAAGTGTTAAAGCTTCATGAACATGTAGACAGTGTGTGTCTGTCTATAACTGCCTTACTCTGTGCTGCTTTGTGTGTGTGTGTGTGTGTGTGTAGGTGCATTATCCACCAGCAGAATGTGTTCACACTGAATCTGAAGTTTGTGTGTCTTGTTTTGCCAAAGAGTCAGTTTGTGTTACAGCTTCTGTCGCACAAAGTCCAGCAGCTGCTGCAGCAACTTAACAACACAACAACATCAAGTAACAACACTGCTGTTCAACTGGTGTCCATTTTTATATCAGCCTGGACCACGGGAAGAAACACAGACGTCGACAACACTGGATCTATAATGTAGCACATAATCATCACGTCTGGGTTTAACTATCTTCTCAACAACGATGTTCTGTGAGTCCGTCCTCCCTCACCAGCAGGTCTCATGGTGCCACAGGCGTTCAGATTTCCAGGTCCCTGAACGTGTCGTGCTGCAGCAGCTGCTGGACATCTTTGTCGTCCGTCCTGTCGCCTCGTTGTCTCCCACTGACTGAAATCAGAGAAACATGCCGCTGCTTCTAGAAAAAGCCTTTACACTGAAAAGATACTTGAACTGGAGCTGACAGAAGGAACCTGAACGCATCACAGCGCGTTAGTTCCAGCTCTCAGCCTCAGATGAAAATTCTGACGAGCTGCGGAGTCTTTTAGTTTCATCTGTGATTCGTTGTGTCCAAATTCAAATGAAAACTGTTTGTGTCAAAATGTTGGCGTCAATAAATGTGAGGTGTATTTTTCTGAGCAAACTCGTCTCTACTGAGTCTGAGAGAAGCACCTGAATGAAACACTGTGAAATATGAACGAGACGTTGAACTAATGTCAAAGTGACGTATAATTTAAATAATATTTATATATATTTGATTTTGTAGCATGAGTTGAGGAATCAACCAGCTCTTTTAAATCAGGACTGTAACATCCGTCACTCACAGATGTTTACTCTGAGTCATATTTTAGGATGAACTGAGTTTAACCATAAAACATTTGATTCAGAGCCAATAAACTACTGGAAAACCGAAAACAGTTATTTTAAGAGTGAAGGAATTACATGTTTACCACATGTCCTCTGCTTCTTCTTGAATTAGTGTTGTGATATATTGTAGTGTGTGTGTGTATAGTGTTTCAGAGTGTGTAGTGTGGTAACACGTGTGGAAGCAGATGTTTTCGTTGTCACAGGTGCCTCTGTTACACCTGAGGATTGTGGGTAGTGTAGTGCTTCTTGACAGGATAACCTAACATGGGTTCACGGCCTCGTGGTGAGTTTACCTCGGATGGTTAAAATATTGTGGATGACATTTAAAACCTGAGGAGGAGCTGAGCTGTGACCCTGGACCCGACCCCGCCTCTGATTGGCTCAGCTTCAGGAATGGAGAGCGCTGATTGGTCACAGTCAGAACCGTGTCGGGGCGGGAGCGGGAACTCTATTGGAGGAGAGTTCTACCTGCGCTGTGACTCACAGGAGGCGCGGGGGCTCCGAACAACCGCCGCTGAGATGCCGGTAAACTGCGGGAGAGCTGCGGGAGAACTGCGGGTGAGCTGCCGGTGAAAGTGAGTGGAACCGGGGAAACGGATCAAAGCGGATCTCTCATGATCGACTCGTGTCCGCGGGACTTCAGGAGAAGTGACGCAGACCAGCGGCGAGCACGTGGCTGCTAGCGCTCATCTGGCGCAGCTAACCAATTAGCATGCTCGGCTATCTGTGACGTTAGCATCAGTTCAGTTTAGTGGCTGCTGGTGCTAGTTAGCATGTTAGCAACGTGCATTTAACGGTACGTTAGCTGCTGGAGGCTGCTAGTTAATAATGAGTTAGCTTATGGAGGCAGCTAGTTAAAAATGAGTTAGCTGCTGGAGACTGTTAGTTAACAATAAGTTAGCT